ATTTTTTTTAACATTTTATTAGGGGCTCATACAACTGTTATCCCAATCCATACACACATCAATTGTGTAAAGCGCATTTGTACATCGTTTCTCAAAGAACACCTCTTATTTTTGTATTACTCCTGTTCTGTATAACATTAGTAAGGATTGGAACAAATTAGAAATTTATTATTTGGACATAAAAATGTATCTTTAGAAATTCAGTTACTGGAATATCAAATTGGTGAAACTTTCAGTAGGTGATTACCCAAACTTACTGGTAATGACATTTTTCAGGGAATTGCTAAGAGACTGTCTTCTGTTAACCCTTTGGAACACGCAAAAGCTTTATTTAACCATTGACATTGTTATTCTATTAATCATTAAGGTTATGGTTAAATTATTGGCCTTAAGTACAAAGTTACATGAAGTACACCTGCGTACTTCGCCCTCTCCCCAAACGGGGGTATAAGGCAGAGGTTGGATAGCCAGCAACGGGTAAGATTGAGTCTGAGTCTCTCAACCTAAGACAGGTCATAGTCGCCTGGAGGACTATGGCAGTTAATGGGTAAGAGTAATTTCAGGACTCAACAACCTAAGGCAGGCACAATCATCTGCCAGCATTTTGAGAAAAGATGTCTTTAATAAAATAAAAAAGGGGGATAAGAAGGAGGCATGAGAGGAGCACTGTGTCTCTATCTTGTATCTGTCTAGGACAGGACGCAAATGTCTGTCCTAGTTGGTTCTCATAAATAGCATCCGTACTGCAAACAGTAAGATGATTTGTGGAAACAGCTGAACGAAGTATTTCCCTGGTACAAATGAAAACATCGGTATGGGCGGAGATAAGGAACTCACTCTCAAGGCTATGTGAAATTCAATCGCGAGAATAGCAAACTTGTCTGGGAACCCTGCAATATTTAGGAGATGAATAATAAAGCACTGCGGGCTGCCGAGGCTGCTGCAGTTTTGTACCGTCTCTGTGTCTAATTTGTGCTGCAGCCCTGTAGTGTCTGTCTCTGTGTATGTATGTCCATTTGGTTCCATGTTCTTTCTCCCTGCTCAAGAAACCGCCGGAATCAATATCCCATGTTAAATGTTACTTGCCCATAATGTAAACAAATGGGAAAAAGTTGATAATATAGAAACAAAGTTAGATAACAAAAATGAAGTGAATGCAAATCCAAGCCTGTGGACCCTCCCTGATCCACAAGACAGAGCTGTAAACACCAAAGTGGCAGAGACACAGCCTCATCAAGACCATGAGTCAAGGGACCAGATTCCTGAAGGGAAACAGCTGAGTGCCTCCCATCAAGAGACTTGCTTGCTTAGTGGAGAGAGAGCCTGTGGGCCTTCTCTGGTGAAGCAGGTTTGTAAACTCTCAGTACTAGAGTGTGGGAAGCAAAGAAGGAGAAGAGAGTGTACATAGATGAATCCTCTATTTTCCCATAGTAAGAGGCCTGGCACACTGGGTTTCTGGGACGGCGGGAGGCCTTCACCTATGCATTCTCATAATTAATACTATTCCCCACTATACCCTCCCATAATAGCGCTACCTTATGGCTGCCTCTTAGAAGCACATGGCTGATTGCTATCTATTTGGCAACTTTATTATAGAGGCACAAAAGTGCTACTGCTCTCTAGGCTCTGAAGACTGGCACTCCCCCATAGCTGCCCAGGACACTGGTGTTAGGTCACTCCTCCTATGTAGTCAGGGAAATTCAGGGTTAGGGGACAACCCATTTGTGGGGGGAGGTCAGATGCACAGGCATTCCCCCCCTGAAGGCAACCAGTTGCCAGACTGCTGTCTCATCCCTCCACAGGGGTGGGCCTGCTCCCTGCCTCTGGGGACAATGGACAGGCTCCTGTAGGAGGAGTTTTCACCCTACTGATAATGGTTCCTATGGAGACCCAGAGACCACCC